AGGAGGTAAAGGGAAAGGCACGTGAGGGGGGGTGGGGGGGGGGGGCAGATGCAGGGAAAGGAAGCTAGAGCCTAGTGGGTCGAGTCTCCGTTTCGGGTAACAAGAGAGAGAGAGAGAGAGAGAGAGAGAGGCAGAGAAGTCACAGTGCTTGAAGTTGAGGCTTGAAGTCGTGGTGAGGCTTGGAGGCTTGGGTGCTGACTGACAGAGTTGACTGGGGACTGATGACGGGCGACGGGCGACTGGCGACTGGCGACGAGGCTGGCTGGCTGGCTGGCTGGCATAGGTAGGGTAGGGTAGGATAGGGTAGGGTAGGGTAGGTAATTAGGTAGGTAACCGGTACAGTAACTTAGACGACCCAACTTCACAAACACCTACAACCAACACAACGACAAAAAGCACGCGCAACGCGGATGCACCGCCTTTTTCACCCTTCCCACCCGGCCGACGGACACAAGGCGCCGGAGATGTCAGGAGAAAGGGTTTCGCTGGCGCTCTGTACTTGTGCGACCCGTTGGTCGACGGAGCGCTCATCAGTGAGCGTTGCCGGTCAATTTTTACATAATAGTCGACGAATGAAAGCAAAGCTTCTTTGCTCTCGCGCCCTCGTGACCGACCGTTGCAACGAAGATGTGGTAATAGTTTGCTCCCTGCACGTGCGAATTTTCTTCTTCTTCTTCTTCTACTTCTTCTTCCCTTATTCTTCTTTTTCTTTTCTTCTTCTCCTTCTTTCCCTTCATTCTGCCTCGTCTGCTTGTTCCTTTCTTTTCTCTGGTTCTGTACTGTTTTCCCTTCTCTGAACTGACCCGACCGAGCCACGGTTCGTTGGAGTATAGTTAGGGGAGTCGGCTGGGTAGGTAGGTAGGGAGTAGTACCCTCTACGGGTAGGCATGGTAGAGTTGATTGGTCGCTTGGTGTTGCGCACTGGGTTGGGTTAGAGGCAACTACCTAGGTGCCTAGAGTACCCCATGCCTGCTCCAACGACCTACAGTACATAGTAGGTAGAGTAGCCCACCGTAGAGTAGTACTGTATACCTACTCCGACTGCATCACAGAGCAAATCCAAGTAGTAGCCCCAGCCCCTGGCCCTGGCGATGCGGGGAAATACAACATGCGTGTCCCAGCAGCAGCAGCAGCAGCAGCAGCTGGTCTTAGCATCAGGTACCGGTACCATACCTACCGGTACCGGCACCGACACCTCCGTGACCCCATCCAACCAACCGACGACGGGAAACGGCGATCCACAAGCACAGGAAAATGCCATCCACCTTGCCATGACCGCTTGTTGGGAACTCGCCGACACCAGACAGGGAACCACTTGGTCATCCCCAGCAAGCCAGCAAGGTGTACAATACGCCCGTGTATAGTAGGAGTAGAGATGACTACAAAGAAGCCTCTGGCCGTCATTTCGCAATGCACGGCCATCAAGGTGTTGCGCCCTTGGCACCCCTACCCCTACCCCTACCTTTCCTTGACTAACTGGAAAACATGGCCCCCAGCCCGTCCGTCTCCCATCTTCCGCTAGAACAACTGGACTTGTACATGCAAGTGCATGGCGGTACGCGGGCCGTCCTCTCATCCCCCACCATGTTGATTTGGGCATTGGCTCCATTGGGAATGTGTATGCGGGCAATTGAACAATGCACTCTTCTGCTCCTCTACTACTACTCCTACTACTACTGCTACTACTACTACTCCTACTACTCCTACTACTACTGCTACTACTACTACTCCTACTACTCCTACTACTCCTACATTGATTTCTCTCTCTCTCACCTACACACACACACACTGCTGTACCCATGTACACCCTATGGGTACATGGACGTCCACAGTCAGGGAAAAACTAGGGTACCGGTACCACCAACACACCGTCATCATCACAATCAATCAACATCATCATCATCATCATCATGACCACGTATCACACACACACACACACACATGCTGTGTTCGCAGCCGCCGCACCTTCAATGCCTGTCAACCAACCTCCAAGGCCGAGCATGTTGCCATGTCAGATGCGCACTTTGATAACAACCCTCTTGCTACTAGTGGAGTCATGTCGCGTCAATCCAATGATTCAGTATCCTGCATGCGCTCAATACGTAGATGGGTCGGGCTGATCCCAGTACATCCATCACCAGGCCGAGTCCTATCCTGTCCTGTCCATTACCCAACCCGACCCAGCACCAACGTGCAACCATGGTCGTGGCATTTGGGAGGCGTGCGCCATGCATTCCATCAGATCATCCAAACGCGAGAGAGAACCAAGAAGCCTTGCACTTTCAACGCTCCCAGCCCCCCAGCCCCATATCGCTCCCTCAGCCAATCACCATCTTCCAAATCTCTGCATTGCCGTCGCCCTCCGCAGCTTGCAGCTTTGCCGCCCTCACTTCCTCTGTATGCAAATGCGCACCCGAATCGATCAGCATCCGTACGTGATCTTTCAAGCCCGCCGCTGCAGCCAGGAAAAGCGGGGTATTTCCCAATCGGTTCCTCAGATGCACCGACGCTCCCTGGGCCAAAAAGTCCTGCAGAATCTCCACATTCGGACTGGTGGCGGCGAGATGCTACATCGCAAAGTCAGCAGTGAACCCAATTTCGCATCATTTCCTGGGCGGCGAAATGGTAGTTCCTTGTCCCGAACCCAAGTTGCGTGCCAGTGCCAGGCTGGGAAGATAAGCGATGCCTTCGTCGTACCGTCCGACTGGGACGCCGCTCGACACCTGTTTGGCTCAATGACCTGTTGTGCCGACGGCACCTGGCCTCTTTATCAGCGGTCAACGGACGCGTTGCGGCCGTCTCAGATTGATCTGCTCAAAGTCTGCATCACGAGTTCACCGGTCGCAATAACCCAACATCTGCCATCCATACTCTTGACGCAACGTAATGGTGAAACCAACAAAAGGTTACGATCCCCCCTCCCCCTCAACAATGACTTTCGTCGGCTGTTGTGGAGTTCCATGTCTTCATGTGAAGCCACGTGTGGTCCGAAGATTGCACAGAGACATTGATCGTTGCTGTACTGCATGCATTCTTCCGATGCCGGCGTTCCTTCCATACAGGAACCGTAGGCAAGATGTTTCGGCTTGTCTGCGTATAAGGAAGGTAGGACGTGTGAAGAGATAGGCATGAGAACGTTGAGTGGACAGATCGATGACAGGAAAGTTTACTTACTACAGGGCTGTTCATTTGATAGTCGCAATCATTGAGGAGCCATCGACGCTCTCCTCGTATGATGTCCCGGGTGGCTTGCAGATCTCCCTTTTGCACAGCGTAGCCAAGTGCTGTCAAGCTGGAGAGCTCTGGGGTAAGAAATCCACTCCGTGAAGGGTGTTCGAAGTGGGTTCTTGTAGTCTCCGTCAACTCACCTCTAATGGAAACCGACATTTGCTTTGCGACCTCTTCAGGCGTAGCATCGGGCAAGGCTAATAGGTAGGCGAGTTTCGTCAGCGCCGCTTCGGATGTCATGTCCTGGCCAAACACGACACCGGCCCGACCGAGCATTGTGGCGGGAGCATACAGTGCGCTGACGCTGCCGCTCAAGCATTGTGTCACGTTGACGATGACGATTCCCCTCTTCACGGCGTCTGCCAAACAACGTGTCATTGCACTATCAGCTCCGCCCGGTGTGTTACCGGCTCCAAAGGTCTCCAGCACCAGTCCCTTGAGTCCCTCCAGCCGCAGGACCGAGTCGACCAATGCTGGCGTGATGCCTGGGAAGACCCGAAGACAGGCTACATGTGCCGTGTTCAAACTCGTTTGAATCGCAAAAGGGCTGAGATCTACTGAACGGTGGACTCTGTGCCACAAAACGTTCGTCTTGGTCGCGGAGACTGTTGCAAGCGGTGGATGATTTGGGCTACCAAATGCATCAAAGTCTTCGGCAGATATCTTCGTAGCACGATTTCCTCGGAAGAGTTTGAAATTGAAGAAGAGGCAGACTTCGGGTATCATGAAATGTCCCGCGATGACGAGAGAATTGAGTAGGTTGTGCTCGGCAGTGTCGGTTTGCAATCCAAACATTGGGACTTGTGAGCCCGTCAGAATGACTGGCTTTCCCAAATTCTGGAACATGAAGCTCAAGGCCGCGGATGTGTAGGCTAATGAGTCTGTCCCGTGTAATATGACGAAGCCATCAAAGAGTTGATAGTTTCTTTGGACTGTCCTAGCAATCTGGTCCCAGCCGGTGGAGTCGATGGAGCTGCTGTCGAGTAATTTCTCAAACTCGAGTACACAGTACCGTATTCGACGCCCATATGTGCTGACGGGTGTTCGCAGACTCTGTACAGCCTTGTGAGTGCCTTCATCATCGGTTACAATCTCCAAAGGTTCCGGATAGGAGCCGTCGTTGAAGGCGGGTCGCGGAGCAAGCCCAGCTTTCAGGAATCCTCTTGCAGGGACGAGACCGTCCGCGGATTTGCGCATGCATATCGTACCACCTATGTTGTCCTGTCAGCATGACATTAAACACTGCATGGGCGATGTCTGATCAGGTACCTGTGATGACGAGTAGCACACGTGACTCGGGAAGCTGGACTTCTGCGAACTGATCGTCCATTTGCTCCGCAAGTGGCACAAGCGTGCACTAGGATGATGTGATGTTCGGTAATACTGTGCACAGGTTCGCGAGATAATGCTAGGAGTACCAGGCACAGAGAGGGGTGTGTGTGCAATCGGAGTGCAGCGGACGGCGGTGTTTCAGGACTTTAACCAAAGACAAAGAAATTGGAAAAGATTGGTAAGATAAGAACTGCTGGAGTATACGGAGTAGTCGGAGTAAGGATATCAATCTCTCCTCAGCACTCGGTACCAGATTGATGGTACACACAAAGAAAAATTCAGAAATATGGCATTGCAGTCGTGGAACCAAGTCTTGGCCCACCAAGCAACGTGGTGAGAGCGTAGTACTTACTGTACGTACCACACCGGCTTATGAAGTTTTGCAGGCTTGTAGGTCGCAATGCAAATCGTGATTTCCGTACTCATGTAATAGTATGCGACCGCAACCAACCACAACCAGGGAGTGTGTCCAGCAAGCTTCCGGGTTCTGCCTTCCTCATCGGGCCGGGGGGGTTCCAGCGTGGCGCACATTGGACGAATAAGGGTCCACTTGAGCATTCTCGTTACCCCTTCAAAACCCATCGCATTACCCCTTCAAAACTGCTTTCCATCACAGTATTACCCCTTCGAAATTGAAAATTTGCTCCATGCCACGCAACCCCCTTATCTTTATCCACTCGGATGCAAAATTTGCGTGCGCGTGAGACGTTGCATCTTGTCAAGCGTGGAAAATGTGCCGTCGCGGATGAGGACAAGTGCAGAGAACCATCGTCTGCGCCGTCACTCGATGTACCGGCTGCTGTTGGCCGTGTGAATACCTCCATACCGCCGACTGGAAACCTAGGGTTGACAATCGACCCTCTTTGCAGCTTCCTTCGCCGCAGTCGATCGAGCCTTCTCCAGCGCCTTGGCCTCTTTCCAGTTCTCCAAAACCCAGTCGAGCACAGCGTCTTTACTGTCTGCTGCCATGAAAGAGATCCAAGTTGTGTACTCTTGCACCTGAGTCGCCATCCCTGGCTTCCCATCCTTGAAAACTACCCAACGTCGAAGGCTTTTCAGTGCTGTACTCAGGCTGTTGCCTTCCACCGGTAGCCTCTCCCGAATGCCTTTCCATAGATCCTCTTCAGCCTCTCTAAGGCGATGACCTCTTATCATCTCTTCGTACTCCGCATGCTTGTTGAAAAAGTGTAGTGCTTCTTGGAGAACTTCGTCTCGCGTTATAGCATTCCTGTTGCCTCTGTCTGGATGTGCTGGCATGTACTCTTGCACAAAGCGGCGATACATTGGCCTTTTGGCCTGGCGCGAACGGTCATTTGCCTTTTCGACTCGATTCTCAAACACTTCTCGATAGAAGAGCCGACTGGTGCTTACCCAGTCGAACAACTCCGTCTCGTTTGCAAAGCCAGCGTGATATTTTGCGACATCAAAGCCATAAAACTCCATGGCCTTGACCGGATCTCGTGTCAGGAACAGCAGCGCCCGCTTCTTGTCATACAGCTCAATTTGTTCCAATCTAACGTGTAAGCCACGGTCATTACAGAGTAAGCCTAGTGGGCGGTGTGCGATGCCAATGATCTGGACCAGATCGGAATCGCCCTTCATGAACAGCGTCCACTCGAACAGCTGGACGCTGTCGGGAGTTCCGTTGCCGGGTGATATTTCAACATCGACTTGTACGTAGGCCTCGAGAATGGTTGGATGTGGGATGGCGTAAGATTGTGATGCCCCATTGGGGAGCTGCAGTTCAGCGCCTAGTGCTTCCTTGATGGTAGTCCAAATGGTCTCATCAGCAGTTTCCAAACGCGTGCCCTCTACGAGCAAATCCACGTCGCCATAGTCTATTTTACTGGGTGCATCCCGCGGTATGGAGACGCGTTCGAACAGAGCTTCCAATTTCTTCTGGCAGTGACTCGCTACTGTATGATAGACTTCAGGTGACATGCGAGGAGTATGAACAGGCTTGCCGTAGCTGCCCAGAAATCTTGCAAAAGCTGAACCGCCCATTACGATCGTTTAGTAAAACGCGTGTGGTTTCTTTGCTTTTGGCGAGAGACTGTGTGGACGTCGAGTTGTAGAAGAAGGTATATGAGCGTGGCCAGGAACGGCGTGACGTTGAAGGCGCGATGAGATGTACCTAGCGGTATCTGGGTAACTCAGATTGATCGGACGCAGGCTGTGAAGAGAGAGTGACAACTACAAGGAACGTAGCGATTGTCAGAGGAGTTGATGCAGCAACACCACACCTAGAAGGCAGGTGCGTCCTGCCTCCCCCACCTCCTTGAATCGGAATTGACTCCTGAGTGTTGTGCAAGGGATTCAAGTAAACAATTGCAGCGTGCTAGAAAAGGCAGTAAGGGTTCAGTGTAGAGTCTATATCAATGCAATGCCTCTCATTCTGTACCACGAGTCCGAGTGGCCATGACAGCCTTACCCGTCAGCGTCTCCATCTCAGCGTCGATCAGGCGTTGGAGCCTGGGTACGGTAACTTAGTGTAGGAAGGAGCGAGCGGTACTACGGTGGGTCGCGGCATGTTCTCCGCACTGGTGGGAGAGTCCGTGCTCGAGCTACACCTCAGACCCCTGCAGAAGCTCCCAGAAATTTTGGAGCCTACCCAAACTCTTTCCGCTTGCGACCAAGGGAAGTTTGGGAAAACTCAGTCAAGTCGACCAAGTTGGTTGATGCTACATACCTGTTTGTCGCATTGAGTGGCTTGCGCATCTCTCACTCTCATATACTTCATAAGCAACTCACCTGCTGCAACTCAATTGCAATCGACTATCATGGCCGACACGGAAGCACCCGAGGAGCTGACGGCGCGCTTCGAAGAGCTTGGTGCTCTCGAGGCAGAGTTCGAGGACGCCGAGTTGGAGATCAGTAAGTGGGAGGCAGACTTGATCTCAAAGGCCAATCCGTCTAAAGGCGAGCAGTCCGTAAAGCCGAGGAAATCCATGCGCCGCTGTACAAGAAGCGCGCCGAATACATCGCCAAAATCCCACACTTTTGGTCGCTCGTCTTGGAGCAGGCGCCCCAGGAAATCGACACCTTCATCCAGCCCACCGACTCCAAAGTCTTTGCAGAGTGCCTGGACACCTTGGAAGTTTCCCGATTCGAGCTCGACGACCCAAAGGGTTCACCGCGCAGCTTCTCGCTCAAGTTTGGATTCAAGGATAATGACTACTTCGAAGACCAGGTGCTCGAGAAGAAGTTTTGGTTTAGGAAGACGAGGGACTGGGCTGGCCTTGTGTCTGAGCCTGTCAAGATCAACTGGAAGAAGGGCAAGGATCTGACGGCTGGTCTGTCGGAGGCAGCCTACAAGCTGGGTGAGATGAGGAAGAAGAACGCAATCGATACTTCGAGCGCCGAGGCTAGGAAGAAGGAGACGGAAACCGAGGAATACAAGCAGCTGACTGAGAAGATTCAAACAGTCACTGATGCCTCGGTCAGCTTCTTCTGCCTCTTTTCCTTCGTCTCGGGCTTCCGATGGGTCAGTGCCGAAGAGAACGAGAAGACTATCAAGGAGGACAATGAGAGACTAGAGAAGATCCGGCGCGGAGAAAAGGTCGAAGACGACGATGAGGATGACGAGGAAGATGATGTAGACTACCAGGAATCCGAAGTATTCCCAGGTGGAGACGAGGTTGCTACACTCATCGCCGAGGACATGTGGCCAAACGCCATCAAATACTACAGTAGGTTGACGGGTTTCCAAGAGCTTACACCAGTCTACGACTAACACTTCCATCACAGAGGGAACCTTTGAGGAGGCCGACGACGAGGACCTCTCCGATCTCGACGAAATCATGGACGACAGTGATGATGACGACCGTGTCCAGGAAGTCGAATCCGACGACGACGACAACGAGGAGGTCGACATCCGCGCCCTCGTCGGCAAAGGTCGCAAGTCCACGCAAGAACCGCCTGCTAAAAAGCAGCGCAAGGCCTAGAAAGCTCAGATGTGAGAACCTCACCCGCCATCTCACGAGCCCCTAGGAAGAAGAAAAAACATCACACCATCAGACTCTGTGCATTCTGTGCAAAACCAGCTCAGCGGAAATACCGTACATTGTCCCTCCCCTCGGTTCCACCACGGTACCAAGTGTTTCACACGATCCCATGACCTTCCAGAGCCCAACTAATTCCACACATCGGTGTAATCTCACGGTGCAAAAGTTCATGCCATGTATGAACCCGCCCAGGGCGTTTCAGGATATACCAAAGTAGATGGAAAGCTCGTTTCGCTTGCACAGGATATGTAGATTTGCTTTTTTGTTTCTTCGCTTGCTCTAGCCTACCTGTTCTTTCTCTTACGGTGCCCCTAGCACACCCGCAATCTTCTTTGCCTGCTCGTGCTTGCGCTCGTTCGCCACATAGGTAGCGTATGTTGACAAGAATACTATGCCTCCCACCCAACGGTCCGATTCCACCCCAGCCCATTCCTCATCATTCACACCGCCATCATCTCAAGCCGCTCCCGCCATCCCGCCATTTCACTTCGGAAATTATTCACAGTTGCAAGGTGGAAGTTTGCATTTGTGAATCCTTGCTACCGTCCACTGCAGTAAGTAAGTACTACTAGAGTACTTGTCCCTATTCTCTTGGCCTTCCTACCCCCCAATAACATCCCTCCCGAGCCGTTGTTCCTGAACCCGCCACCAGGCTTCTACTTGCTCGCCTCACCTATAGAGTACTCCTACCTGCCGTGTTCCTTCCAGAAGGGCTGGGGTGGCCCTCCAATTATAAACCCTGCTTGCCTGCGTTGCCTGCGTTGCCTTGCCTTTGCCCAGGCTTGCACTTGCACCGTTATACCCGTCTCAGCACGGTGACGAGACCGCCGTCCCGTTTTTCCTGTTTCCCGTCACCCGTGTCAACGTGCTCGCGCAACGGGTGAGGTACGATTGCTGGCCTTGTTGAGCGTGTTTGACAGGAACTTGATTTCCGCAAAAGAGCTTGGGTGCGGGTGCGTTTTTGCACGGGAGGGGGGGGGAGGGAGGCGGGCTACTAGCGTATCATTTGCAAAATACTTGGCCGTAGCTGGGGATTCGAGCATGTGGCATGTATGTAATAGTATGAATGTATGCATGTACTTGCGACAATGGGGCGAGGGAAATCTCGGTTAGGATGTAGGCATGGACTATGTACGTATGTATGGTATGTGGTCGAGAAGATGCAGGTGCATGAGCGACTACATGTACCCTTGGATGCGGAGACAGGGTACCTACATGGCTGTGTAGTATGTATTCCCATCGTTTAAGTACCAGGCCTGCGTCGCGTCGCAAAGGCAGCGCGTACGAACGAGGTTCAAACTACGGTGTGCGAAAAAGGCACACACTGCGTTTGTCATCATGGCTTCTTTGCTGCCTCTCCTTGGCTTGCTCGTATCACTCAGCTCACCCGCGGTCGCGCAGGGCAGCGGTAATGGCACTGGCACCGCACCGCTTTCCTACGCCGTACCCTCTGGTTACACGACTGTAAGCTTCAATGCCTCCGTCCAGCCCACACCCTACACCCGCACGGATTTCTCGCCCAACGCCCTCGCCTCGCTCTGGGATCTCGTCGGTCCCGTCGCCACGGGAATAGTGACAACGACCGTGTCCCCGACTCCAGAGCCAACAGCATACCCGCAGCCAGACCCGCAGTACTACCATGCGCTCGTAGGGAGTGCGTACCCGGAAGCCAGAGACTTGAAGTTGCCGCCGAATTTCCGGTGGGGATTCAGTTCCTCGGCGTACCAGATCGAGGGCGCGGCCAAGGAGGAGGGCAAGGGCCCGAGTATTTGGGATTTGCTGGCTCATCGGGTGCCGAATTTTGTGGCGGATAATACGACGGCCGATGTCGTTGCTCAGCATTATTTCCTGTACAAGCAGGATTTTGCGAGGCTGAAGAGTTTGGGCGTGCAATGTAAGTTTTTTTGTCTTCCAGCTGGAGATTGGGGATACTAACAGAGTGCTGCAGCTTTCAGTCCCAGTTTCTCTTGGCCGCGATTCTTCCCCTTTGGCCATGGCCCGGTGAATGAGGAGGCAGTGGCTCACTACGACGATGTCATCTCTGAGTTGCATGCCAATGGCCTCCGTCCGGCAGTGACCCTGTTCCACTGGGACACCCCTCTGGCCCTCTTTTCCGAGTATGGAGCCTGGACGGACCGCCGCGTCGTCGACGACTTCTTCAACTACGCAAAGTTTGTCATCACGCGCTACGATGCGTACGTGGATGAATGGTTCACCATCAACGAGCCCCAGTATTGCAACTGGCAATACGCCGGCTATCCCGCTGGCAAATACTACCCAGCCCCCAACGGCGTGACGGGCGGTGTCAAGGCACGCTTCCTGTGCGGCCACCACACGCTCCTAGCCCATGCAAAGGTTGCGAAATGGTACCACGAGGAGTTCCGTGGTCGCGGCCGCATCACCTTTAAGAACTCGGGCAACTACTACGAAGCCAACAGCACCAAGCCCGAAGACGAAGTCGCTCGCCAGCGCAACTTTGACTTTAGTATCGGTTGGTTCGGCGGGCCCTGGACCGACGGCGACTATCCCCAATCTCTCAAGGAGACCCTAGGCGACCTCTTGCCCGAGTTGGCAGAGGAGGAAAAGGAGATGATCAAGGGATCCTGCGACTTCTACGCCATCGACCCGTACTCGTCCTTTCTTGCCTTTGAGATAGACGGCGGGCTCGAGGCTTGCACGAGTAACCGATCTCATCCCGCGTTTCCGGACTGCGCTGGCTCTCGCAGTGTGGCCCCAAACGGGTTTCCCATTGGCCCTGCGGCCGATCCAACCATGAGTTGGTTCTACAGTGCGCCGGCGGGGGTGCGCCGCTTCCTCAAGCACATTACCGAAGAGCTGTTTCCGTCGATCCCGGACATTGTAGTGTCCGAGTTTGGGTTCGCAGAGCCGTTTGAGTCGCAGTGGGGGGATTTGAATTCTGCGCTCTGGGACCTGAAGCGTGCGGATTACTTTCAACAGTACCTGGATAACATCCTCTTGGCCATTCACATTGACAAGGTAAACGTGTCGGGAGCCTTTGGATGGTCTATTTATGACAATGCCGAGTGGCTGCTGGGTACGGGTGTGCGGTTTGGGTTGCAGTATGTGAATTATACGAGTTTGGAGAGGACGCCCAAGGCGAGTATGTTTCAGTTTTTGAACTGGTTCAAGGAGCACGAGGCGGAGAGTAGCGGTAATGCGACGATGCGGATGTGATGGAGGGGTTGGTAGCCAGAAAGGGGGAGGGGAAGATGGGATGCGTACTTGGTAGGGTAGAGCAGAAGAAAACACGTTGATTGCGACTTGGTTGGCTCCATGGGGACATCTTTCGGTCGGGTGTCGAGTCGATGCCAGGGATGCACGTTGACGTTGATGTTTCTGCTACAGGTGGTTTGCTGTGTGACTGTGTCGTGGCGTGGCGTGGCGTGGCGTGGCGTGGCGTGGCGTGGCGTGGCGCAGTTTTAGGGGCCAGAGCTACATTGCTGGCGTGGAGGAAGGGATGAGGTTGATTAGGTGGGGATCAAATCAACACATCTGCAGTGTTGGACTACTAGAAGGATTTGAGCGAGTACCGGTAGAAGAAAGGAGAGCAGAGTAGAGCAGAGTAGAGCAAAGCAGAGCAAAGCAGAGGATGAAGTGGACGATTGATTGCCCCTTGCCTGTAGGAGTACCTGAACTGTCCTGGCCACTCTTTTGAGTCTGGAGTCTGTCTGCACTCTCTGCACTGCACTGCACGTGTACATGCCATGCCCTACTACTATTACTCTACTCTACCTGCCCTGCCCACATGTTTCCTGAGAGATGCACATGTCCCAGCCAGGCACTCTAGCCAGCTAGCCCACAGACACACACACACACACACACACACACACACCCAAGCTTCCTTCTCTCTTCCTGTCGCCTGGCCTGCCTGTTTTTGTCGGCGTGACTCGAGTCCGCTGGCTGCCCCGACAGAGCTGGCACACACGCCCTCCCTGTGCCGTTGCCTTTTGCCTTTTGTTAGGTAGCTTGGGGAGCTTGAAGCTTGACCTACCGGTACCCTACCACCCGTCTGGGGTCCAGCGTCAGCCAGCGCCAGCTCCAGCTCCAGCTCTACGTTGGATAGCACGTACTACTACGGTACCTACACCTTGGCTGGCTAAACTGCCCTCCCGTCTGCATTCTGAGTTGCGACGGGACCAAACAAGCTTGTTCGGCTGGCCACTCACCCACCCAACTAAAGAGACAAAGACGCATTCTGTGCATTCTTGCTCCGAGCTGCAACCCACAAAGACCATCAGCCATCATCCCACTCTGGCTGACGGATCTGGGCCCAACTGCCATCCACTTGATTGACCCAGCCGTCATCGATTGATTGTGCACGTGCAGACTAGGCTACGAAGGGGAACCTGCGGCCCGGGTCGCTGCTGCTGCAACATCACAACGTGAACCTACTTCAAGTCACTCTTGGCTCGTCACCTCGTCACCTCGTCACCCGCCTTGGTAAGAGCCGACCACCACCCTTCCAAGCCGTCATACTCGTCTATGCCTACACCCACTTCCTTTTGCTGCCCTGCAAACGCTCTACAGCCTAACAACTGTTCGGCATCGCGACTATGATTATGTACCCTAA